CCCCCCCCCCCCGCCCCCAAATCATCGGTGAACGAAACTGCGACAGCTGCAACCAACGTACGACGATTGCGCGATTCTTACAGCTGACAATGATGATGATGATGATGATGATGATGATTAGCTAAATTTGTGGTTGTACGGCAATGAAGCATCAGTGTCAACACTGATTTTGCCGTCTTTCATGATGATGAGATGTACGCTTACGCCCCTAAAAGCCACTAAGAGCCACTAAGCCTGGACACTTCATTTTGCGCTCGCCCTACCTCTGCATTCGTGCTTAGAAAAACCGGGCGACGTCTAGTTAGTAGTGGTACAACCTTCGAATTTTGTCACTCTTCCTCTGGCGCCCATCAGCCAATATTCAGTGGATCTGCTAGGACGGCACGAAAGCGATTACGGTACAGTCCGCCCTCCAGGATTGGGTTCATATGGTGCCACCTGCACTGTGCTTCAGACGCTGCAATATATGGTTGCTAATCGATATCCCTGACAATCTCATCGCCAGTATGTGTCCAGATGTCCAGGGACATCTCGAAATACACGTATTAGGTTAACGCATTATTTTTCTCACAACAAGGCTTTCAAATCAGTTATGATTGTGCGGCATTGAAGCACCGGTGTTCAACACCGATGTGCTGTCGATGACAATTATTTTACAGATCAATCACGATGTTCTGATGTTTGTATGCTTACATCGCTAGGTATTCCAGGGTACTCTGAAAAGGCAAATGTCAGCCACATCCCTTTCCGAATTTCCGCCCCTTCAAAATGATCTCATCCTTCGAGCAGTTCGGGGGCTCCCAGTTTCGCGAATCCCAGTATGGATAATGCGACAAGCTGGGCGGTATTTACCGGAGTTTCGTTCAGTTCGGAAAAATTACGACTTTTTTACCATGTGCCGAACCCCAACACTAGCTTGTCAAGTGACACTCCAACCCATCGAACGCTATGATTTAGATGCGGCTATCATTTTCTCCGATATCCTTGTGATTCCCCAGGTGAGTTGGTTTTACGTCCGACTTTTATTTTGTCGCCGTCGAGTACTTTCATCGTCAGTCTAGAATGAATCCTCTAAAATCGATTCAAGTACTCATTATTCAGCCTGGTCGTAACCTTTGCCACTTAATATACTGTTCGGCGTAATTCAACACAAGCTTGTTATTTCAAACATCTCCCGATGATCAACCGCTCTTTCCTTGTNGTACATGTAGGTGATGAAATGCTCATAATGTATCGCCAAGGCATTCTTCACTTCTTTGTTTCGTAATCTATTGCACATCGACCGTGTGATTAGTCGAATTCTTGTATGTCAGCATAAATGTCCCGTCATCAGCCATATCCTTGCAACCCGACGTAATATTTGATAACACCTTCCATCGGATATTCACTTTCCTTGTCTGTCCAGATCCTCCCGTGCTCCGGTAATGTGCATTTGGATTATGAACTTCTTCAGCTCGCCCTGGTCAGCAACACAACCAAATTGCACAAACTGTCTAGTTTGGCAAAATGTCATCGGCGCTGTAGGATCCGATGAAATCAATAGCAACGGGCAGTAAGATAGTGGTAGCTCAAGGAGAGGGTGAATGAGGGAAACTTGCGCAAATCTTCGCAAACATTTTTGCCAGTTTTTCTTCTGAATTCAAAATGGCTCAGTGGTGAAGGCGCGAACTTACCACAAAGTTCGTGGTTCGAGTGCATCCCGACATTTCGACGATCTATTCGGGCTGCCGTCTGATATGAATCAGCGCAAGTACAAGCGCTCCTACCGCAACGAACCTGGCCGAAAATGGAGTAAGACTAAAATTGCAGGCCTGAATAGTCGATTAGCAGGAGTCTGGATTTTAATCTGGAAGAGAACACGTCGAGCAAATGATGAAAGAAAGTGGTGCGTGGAGTTAACATTTGGATTCACACACGGAGTGTTGGTATAACCTAGGTTGCACGAGCCATTTACCCTCCAAGAGCACCTTCGCCCCAAATGTACCGGTATTTGTATGTGTCCTCTTTATCCGAAATAAGGAACCGGCAACCTGAGTCATCGAATCTAAGTAGATGGAGTATACCAATTTCGTGAAGGGGGCGATGGTCAGAGTGACCAAACACTTGATCATTTGCATTCCGAACATTGTGACTGTTAAACTTTTCCCTTCGGTAGTCCGCCCAACATGTTTGTTTGTGTACTTTTGTTGACATCCGCAGCCTGTTTCACCAGCGGATGACCTTGTCTAGTATGCACCGTTGGATGTGTTATCCAGTTCACATTATGCTCACCATATCAAACTTTGTCACGTGTTCACACATGCGACCGTCTTTTGGTCGGTCGTGGTTCTCTCCGATGGCTGGTAAGTTGGGATCAAGCCAAAAATAACTGTTCAACTGTAACACACTTTCGGTGCCTAGCTGCCATGCCACTCGAAGGAAGTGCGATGGCTCGGGTACTGCCAATTCGCCAAAGCCTAGACAGGAGAAGTCGAGATACAGGTTTCGGGTTCGAACTACGGACTTTGCGGCCAGTGAATTCACGCTCTAACTATTGAGGCATCTCATGCTGTCAGTTTCCGTCTCGATTGTTTGAGTGAATATTTAGCGGTGTGGATGCTTTAGCTGTTTGTGTTGGGCCCTTCGTCAAGGGTTTTTATCTCGATAACTTGGAGTGTTTAAGCACTACTGTTCCCACACTGATGTTGCTGTCAACGATGATGATAATGACATCAAGCGCAACGTCGTGTTTATTTTTACAAAACTCTCACCACCCCGCTAAAGTTGCCCATCGGACGGAGGGTCACTGTTCCGAGGAAGCTTGTTTGGATGGTACTATGTTTACTAGACTGAGATGAAATTCAATTGGAGTCACGCGAACTGATGTTGACCTCCAGCGACCAAGAAAAGACAGAAATAGGAGCGGACCTAGGCAAAACTTAAAATTGGCTTCAGCGGCCGCTGCCGGAGATCCAAATCCCTTTGACTTTCGGAGTTGAGTTATGCTTGTGATCAAATCATAAATTTTGAGAGCTAGATTGGATATTCAATTTGGAGTGGTGAACCACACAGGTGGGGTAGTCCCGCATCCAACAACATTAGCTTGGAAATTAATTTGCCTTTCGCACTGGAGTAAAGGTGTTTACTGGGTTGTGAGTAATCTCTGTCGTTCGAAGACCCGGAAGTGACATTCCTTTGCGTATTCGATCTTTGGCACTTAACTGTTCCCAGCCCTCATGTTGCGTCACATCATTATAGACAAAATTAGGAACGAATTGATCGCAAAGGTGTTGTGTGGGTGCTAGCAATGATTTGTCTTTTAATTAGCTTTCAGTTAGTTAGTCTTCAGTGAATCCAAGAGACTGAACTTTTAGGTTAGATTAGAAACCCTCCCTCCTTTTACATCTTCCCAAAGCGATTTCTCCGTAGATATTCTCTGATACTCGTTAATAATTTTTGGACGCATCAACGGATCTTTTCTCCCAGCTAGCGTCTGTGTGCGATGAACGTGATCGGTATCTAGTGTGCGATTTGCTTGTTACGAGCGTACCAGATGACTTAAACTCGCCTATATTTTCCCCTCTACTACCCCCGTTGTCTGACTATCAGTGTTGGTGAAGTGGCCCTACCCCTAACTCATTCTTTTGTTTTTTCCCAATGGGACTGTTATCCGCTGACCTCGATTTCTTGTGTTGATTTGTACCCTAAGGCGCTTGGTCTCGAAGTCCAAATGCTTCCCGGTGTTGGTCCAAAGTTCCCGCATCCAATTACTCAGCTGGATGACTTAGATCGTTTAAATTGGTCCGTGGATGTGAAAAAGGAGTTGTCATATGTGTACGAAGCAATCACACTAACACGACATCAGTTGGCTGGCAGAGTCCCGTTAATAGGATTTTCCGGAGCACCTTGGACCTTGCTATCCTACATGATCGAGGGTGGTGGCTCTTCCACTCAGTCGAAAGCCAAACGTTGGTTGTATACTCAGCCGGATGCTAGTCATCGCATTTTACGACTACTGACCGAAACGATTATCACTCATCTTGTCCAGCAGGCTATTGCTGGAGCGCAGTTGTTGCAGGTGAGTTAATGAGTCAATAGACTACCGTCTCTGTTCATTGAATCTGGTTTCTCCCAATGCCAGTCTAGTGCTTTCGTTAGCAAATCTTACAAATAATTGTAGATGCCGAAGCAGATAGCTTTCGGAACTCGAGATGGCTTAGTGGTTAAGGTGCGAGCTCATTTAGTTCGAATCCGATCTCTGCACCTCAACAGCTCTTCTTTGGGCATGGGTAACCCGGCAGTATCTCGGCCCTCGTGCTTCTTTGGGTAGCATAGTAGCTAGGCACTGAAAGGGTGCTGCAGCTGAACCATTGTTTTGCATTCATTTAGTCGGCAGCCTTTCATCCTGAGTTACGAAGGTCTTCGGCCGAACGTGATCACTAATTTCCGTGTAAAAAGTCTTTTGGGTGACTATTTTTTGACACATGGAATAGGATACGCAAGTGCGATGACTAGAAAAAATATGCCAATGCACCTTGAACACTCAATCCCCTGAACGTCCAAATTAGTACATTTTGTTTTCGCACGGAAAATTGTACGCAGCTCAAGCGTGAAAAACCTGTTCATTTGTTGACAATGTCGTCTGTTTGCAGTCGATCTCGGTAGCTAGAAGTCGAAATACGTTTTACGTGAACTGTTCTACAGATTAAGTTGGTTCCTTATTGTTACTGGTCGTCCTTCCTTGCTTGGCGTCTTCATCTAAGCACATCCGGCCGCATCGGTTCTGTACAGTAATTTATGCTTCAGATTTTACACCCCGACGGATCACTATTCCAATCCATAGCGTGGTTTTTATCTTGTCATTTTGAGCTTTCTGTGCCAAACAGCCTATTTAACCACCACTCATCTCTCAGGTCTTCGAATCGCATGCAGGTGCTCTTACTCCTGCACTCTTCGACACATTTGCTTTGCCCTATCTCATCCAAGTTGTTCATGGCGTGCGAAGCCGGCTAACAAACGAGGCCGGCTTTTCTGCTGAACAGTTACCACCCTTGATTGTGTTTGCCAAGGATGGACACTACGCGCTTCGACAACTCGTCGACAGTGGCTACGATGTAATCGGTTTAGATTGGACTGTTCAACCCATGCAAGCATGCGCTCTGGCTGGAAACAAGGTTGCTCTCCAGGTGAGTTTTGTGCATGCAAACTTTGGTCTACGCTTTCTGTGCACGTGCGACTGCTTACCAGACGATGATTTTATACTCGTGCATGGCAGTTACTAGTAACCGCATGAATCACTTTTCGCCGACTTAGTTGGTTTGACTTCTTCGAAGTTGGCAGTGTGACAAGATTTGGGAATTTTAATGGAGACGTTACCCCGTAAGTGAAGCCAGCTTGGGCTGAAAAGCCGAGAAGCACTGTGTAGCTGTTTCATCCTTACTGAGAATCATCAGCAATACGCATCTCGCGAAGCTCAAAACGGTCAACAACCCGCCAACTTTCGGTTAGCACTTCGAACTAGTTAGGCCCAGTGGCAATCAATCGCTTGTGGCCGAACGGCTGTGTTCAGAATACTAACATGGTTCGAGACTCTCTGGATTTTCGAGAAATGTGCACTTCTGACGAATCCCAAAAGGGATGAAACAGCTACACAGTGCTCAGCGTAGGTTAGGTTCATTTACAAGATGAAACGTCCACCAAGACTTCCTTGAAGTGTTGATTTCTCCGTGAATCCTATCCTATCTCTGCATTGGTTCATTCACACGACAAAGCTTGCTCCATTTTTTGTCTTGTTTTTCTTCTATCCAGGGCAATTTGGATCCTTGTGCTTTGTACGCTCCTGACGAAGAACTGCATCTACTCGTCCGTAACATGCTTGAACAGTTCAAAGCCTCGCGGCGATATATAGTGAACCTTGGTCATGGCATTTATCCTGATGTGGACCCAGATAAAGTAACCACGTTTGTCAACTTGGTGCACAAACTCTCCGCCTCAACGTTGGATAGCTAACTTATTTCATACCCCTTCTACCTTCTGTAGATTGTGGTGGAAGCTTTTTCTTATCTCAATATGACCAATTTTGACTTACGTGGCTCGTTATATTGAGCCAACCGAATTACAGTATTACTGTTGTTGCCGGGGGTTTGTCATTTTCAACAATGTTCAAAGTGAGGATTGTGTGGACTACTGGGAAATAAGAAACTCCGAGTATGACTTTCTGTTCACGAATTGCCGACTCCGTTAGTGAAGGAATCTGTGACAATATTCCACCAAAAATGTCAGGGGCATCTAGTCCTCAATTATCCAATGGGCGAGGAAATTTTTGATGGTTAAGTCGAATTTATATGAAAAATGCTAAATATTTGGAGGTTACTCCGTCAGCCCTGTTACTTCGTGGTTAGGAATCGCTCACGACACTTCTCTTCTGTTTAGATTTGAATCAGTGTGACATTTTCTGATAGGTTCATTTTCATTGAGGCAGAACATATCTTTCTCTACCTAGTAGTGGGTTGAAAACGAATTTCCTAAGAAGACGGTTGATTACGAGGAGACCATTCGTATGCACGTCCATGACCTTTCACGGGCGCAAGTTAGGGTGAATCCACACGTCGATATCTCGCTACTAATAAACTTAAAGTAGTCCACTTTCAGAGAAGCTTTTAGTGTACACACTGCCACTTCTCTCCAAGTCGACTAATGCCTTACGGCCCTGAGATGAAGATGCTTCAGTGAGTCTTCATGTCCCAAACTATTTACGACAACTTCATAGAGTTATTGGTGTTCCTGTGAAAATCAAAGGATAACCCAGTGCCGAGGTAATATGCCCTACGCTAGACAACTTTGTGTCGGTTTTCTCTTCTGGCCAGTATTCGCAAAATGGCTGATATTCACGTCAGCAGTCGTCATACTGCTTAGATCAGGTGCAAATGTTGTACGTATTCGTCTATAAATTAAAACGGGCCGGAGCAGGGTAGTACAGTTCAAGGTTCGCTTGGCTAATGCATCCTTTCCATTCTCAATTTGGAATGATTTTCGGCCCTAGGTGTATCCCTTTGGAAGTGTTTCTTTGCAACCAAAAGTGCCCATACAATGCCGGAGTTTTAGCCAAGGCGTCCTTGTAAATGCTAAGTTAGTTTATGATCTGTCGTACGAGCTGATGAAAAGTGAGTTTTCTGTCGGGAGGAATTTTTGAAATTGGGAGCTTTATACAGTCACTGTGGTATGGTTCCATCATATTACGGTTGTTGTAGCTGATGAGTGAACCACTGTCCCGTGTTTTAGTCGCACCAGTCGTTTTAAAATTTTTGGTGTTGATTCTGTGCGTGGCATAATTTCTAAAGCATCCGGTGTTGAACTTGTAATGATTTCGTTTTGGAGCATAGGTCGCAGATCGCCTACTGAACTGAACCCGGAGGCTGTCCTGGAGACCAGTGGGACTAATACATATCAAGACAAGGGCAACCACATTCATTAATAAGAGCAGTTCAACTTCGACAGTCTACCACTTTCGATCGCCTCCATGGCAGCCCGAATCTGCCTGCTTCTAATTTGTAACCTATAAAGAATACTGCATAACAATCAGAATATATCTAAACCTTCAAATCCTCAAGTTGTGGGAATTTCGATACAAAAGCAGCTTCTTGTGCATCCAACTATTTTGGATTGATTACGTCAGAAAATTAGCTCTTAATAGTTGAAAAGACTGGGCTCATGCCTGATTTCTGAGAACCTAATAAATTTGAGTTGGTGAACAACACAAATTGCTGAACGTACATTTCGAATTTCGACCTAGATGCCATATTTGGTACCAATATTTGGGTTGTTTCATCCTGCACAATGATATCAAGCTCCTACCCATTCATAACGGATCACTCAGACAGCTCTTGAGGTTTTTTAATCTACAGATGGTGGAATTGCCGCTACACCAGCTATGGCGTGTGGAAATCATCTGAGTACTCAGCTGCTTGTTCCATGTGTATCAAGTCCCTGGCGATGCCCGCAGATAGTTCATCGTGAACCGGCTAGTTGTGGCTTACTCATTCACTGGAAGACGTACTACGACTAACGGGTGATTGAAGGCGCCTCATAGTAGATTTACAACCATGAATCATTTTGAGCATCTGCTCTAAAATCGGCGAGAAAACCGGGAAGTTTCTGATTCTGTGGTTCACCTTAGTGAAGTGTTCAAAATTGGGCGGAAGATCTTCAAGTTTGGCGAAGACAAAAGTAGGTTCCGAAGATTTGATTTAAGTAAACCAATTTGTGTTCAACAGAACAAGCAAACACGTATTATTACTGGAAGAGATGAAATTCAGTTCTTGCCCGCTCGACTGTTGATTTTTGGCGAATATGGTTATAAATCTAGGTTCTTGAAAATGAACTTTTGCAGGCAACCGACCCGTCGGTCATTTGAAAGTTGATTCACTCCTGTGGGCGAAAAACTTTTCTAAATTACTTAGTCTGTTATCTCTCGATGGTTTCTGAGCCGGTTTCCAAATATCCAACGCCGATTCGTCGTGGCGATAGGCTTTTCAGTTAGTCTCATGATGAGCTGTCGGTTGCGAATCCATATGACATTATACACCGGAGCAGAGTTTGTTTAAGCGTTTAAATTTTTTGGTGAACTCTTTTAGAGTGTATGGGCCATTTCAAGAGGCAGCTGTTTCCCATACCTTGTCCAAGGCGTGGGCTCGGTGCCTCAGGGGTGAATTGCGATGAGAAAACCTGTTGCTTCAAAACTGTTTCCTCTATGTATTGTTTCCTATTGGAGGTTTTCTACACAAGAAATTCTGTACAGCAATGGAAAGTCCTCAGTTCTGTCAGTCCAGAAACGGCTGCCAAAGGCCTCGCCGGTGTAATATACAGCCACATTCCGGAGCTGAACTCCACTTGGCCTTGCTGAGATCTTGGCTTAGAAAACCCATTTAATGGGACAGACAACAGGTTCGGTACTTGTTATTGTGAGCACATCAGAATGCATTGTAGCCTTTGTGTCCCTCAGTTCAATCATCTTTTCAGAACCGGTCTCTGTAGAACCGAGCCTGCCAGTGTTGTGCTCTACAGTAAAGCACGAATGACATTTGTGATGTTCAGTTGCGATGTGTCGATTGGCTGGGAGGTTTGATCCAATGGAATACCCGGAACACAAACTCATCAAATTATCCATCACAGCCTACGTGGTGAGTAAGAGAAAAGCTACCCAGTTTCTGAAAGCACTGGATAGCTGCCTTAACAGCTTAGATGTTCCGAGCTTTTCGTCTCTGGTTCATCCCACTCCTCATTTCTTGTGAGTATCTTTTGTTTTACCATTATCGTCACTAGTGCCCAATCAAATGAACACATTATTGTAATTTTGATAATTAAGAATGTGTTTTAAGCGCTTCAGTGAATTTGGCTAGCATTTCTAGACAGCAATAGGGTTGTATTCGTAAACAGGCAGCGACAGCAATCACAAATTCACTCATTAATTACCCGTGACTGAAAACGCCTACGTTTTCCAGAACAGACGTTTTGGTTCCCCTGCCGTAAGCAGGCGAAAAGGCAAGCAGTAATTTTTGGGACCCATCAGCTTATTACAAGTAGCCTTTTGGTGTCACGCGGTCACACAAAACTACAACAAATAATACTGTTTACGGCTTGTTAGTTCGCGTCCGCCTACCTCAAAATTTTGCAAGCTATATCCGTTGCACATGAGGGGTGAAAATATGTGTAGCTGCATTCCTCAACTTCGTTTGAAGTCCCTAAAAAATACGGGATAGGCACCAGACTCCTGGTAACCTGTTATAGTATCGAACAAACGATAAGTTGTCTCGGTCATGCCTAGAGCATTGCCTACTCTTCACTCATCTGTCAATTGCTTGCATTCATATAGGGGTGTTTCCGACATTCGCTTTTCTGTGCCTTAGCATTCAAGCGTACTGTCCTTCAGTCCAGCGTTCCTGCCTACAAAGACCCTCGGTGAAACATCCTCACCAGAGGCAGAGTTCTCTGCAGCGATATACCCTAAAACTGGATATCATCACCAACGGAGTCAAGTTTTGTTTTTTAGGGTTGATAAAGCATGCTACTTCTACGTGTAATTTTAAAGCGAAAAGTTCACCCAATCAATTGTGAACGAGTAGTTTATTCATTCTTGTTACAAAAACAAAGCAAGAAAAATATTCAGGATCTTTTGCCTGATCAGAACACGCGCTCAGCTTTGTCAGAAGGTTTCATTTTTTTGTTGCTACTTCGTTTGGAGATAAATTAACCGTTGGTTCATCCTCTGAGTCTTACAATTCGCTTGCACACCTTTGGTAATCAACCGTGGAACATCAACGAACGGTTGGGTGGGTACTTCCTCCTTACCTGATTGCTTTTATCTAGGTTTTAACAACCGTACAAAAGCAATCAGATCAAGCGCATCTGATCTTCCAACAAGTAACGCACCCGATTACGAATATTTCCGTTTACTATTTCTGCTTTATTGCTTTACACTTCATTGCAAAATTTACGCCCGAAACGCTTTCATGTTGCTGTCACTTTAGTAGCGGATGCACAGTTCAGTGTAACCTCGTTCTCAATTATTTTCTCCATTATCATGTAATGCCAATTGGTCGTATTATAAAACTGAAGACCACAGACACTTTTTCTCTCTGTACTTCAATTTATTCTGATTTTGCCTACAACTGTGAAACTTTGAAGACCTCAGATGTTCCGATAAGATTAATAGACCGTAAAAAATATTGTAAAGCTCCGTTTTTTAGCATTTCGGCTTCCTGTTAGCATGGATAACTCTTATGTGGGACAGTGACAGACGAGTCGATTCATGGACTACCTAATGTTGGTCTATGAATCCCTAACAGTTGTTTACAATGCCATAGTTGACTGCGAATTTCGCTCGGCGGTGTACTTGGATTTGCCCAAGTACTTGGTGTAATGCAAAGGCATGATCAATGCACCGTCTGCCAGGTCTAAATCCTGCTTGATGCCCTTGGACTTGTATCTCGCATGCCGAAAAAAGGTGTCGCAACATTGAGGAATCTTGTAGCTCTGTTTGGACAGGCGTGGGACTTATATCTTCCTATGCTTGGAACAGTTGTTTGGGTGCCTGTTTTGAAGCGGGCACGATAAATTATTGTCCCAAATTTTATGGAAGCG